GCCTGGTTGGCAGTTTTACGACCCCACCTTGCGTCGTGTCTTTCCATCTCAGGACGTCACCTTTGACGAGTCCATCCCCTTCTACCGTCTCTTTCCCTACCGCACTGCCCCTCGCCCCCCCCCCCCCCCCCGCCGCTCTTTCTCGCCTCAGGTCCTCCCGAGGTAGACCCCCTCTCCGCGCGAGGTCCTGCTCCTTCAGGTGTTTCTCAGATAGACCCTCCCGTGCCTGTGCCTATTGAGGTCACTGGCGACTCAGGTCTTGCTGGGGGTGGTGCTGTCTTTGGGGGTGCTGGGCCTGGGGTGCGGAGCCTGGGGGTGCGGAGCTTGGGGGTGCTAAGCTTGGGGGTGCGGAGCTTGGGGGTGCTGAGCCTGGGGGTGCGGAGCCTGCGCGTGAGGACCCAGGAGGTGCTGAGCCGGGGGGTACGGAGTCTGGAGGTGTTGAGCCTGCGCGTGAGGAGCCTGGAGGTCCTGAGCCTGGGGGTGCTGTGTCTGGAGTTGCTGAGCCCGAGCGTGAGGAGCCTGGGGGTACTGATTCTGGGAGTGCAACGCCTGAGGGTTCTGAGTCTACTGCTGCGCGGTCTCCTTGGAGTAGCCGCCTTCGTCCGCGTGTGCCTCTCACCTCACAGCACCTGCACGACTAGTACGGTCGCCGTCAGGGTCGCGCTTCTGGAGCTCGGGGCTTAGCCGGTGGAGGTACTTCTGCTGACGTCACTGGAGTTGGGAGTGGTGCTGGTCCCGGAGGTGCTCGTACTGGAGGTACTGGAGCTGCTGGGGCTGGAGGTGCTGCTGAGCCTGAGGGTGCTATTGCTGGAGACCCTGGGTCTGGGGGTGCTGCTGCTGGAGACAATGAGGCTGGAGACCCTGGGATTGGAGGTGCTGATTCTGGGGGTGCTGCTGCTGGTGTGCTGGTCCTGGAGGAGCTAGCGCTGAGGATTCTGGAGCTGCTGGAGGTGCTGGAGCTGCTGGGGGTACTAGAGTTGCTGGTGCTAGTGGCACTGCACAGCCATGCCTGTTCTTCACTCCACCGTCTCCGTCGTCTCAACCACCGCCTAAATCTGTGCTTCGCCACGTTCTTAGTCTCCCTTCGTCCACTGGTCTTCCGTTACAGCTTGGCTCACCGCTGCCTGCTCCTTCTCCTTACGCCGAGCAGACACGGGGTCTTACTGAGCGTCGTGAGCCATGAGCCTGCATCGCGTCTTGTCTCGCCTGTCCATTCTGGTCGTTCCGGTCGTCGTGTTCCTCGTCCGCGTCAGTCGGCTATCCCCGGCACCCATCTCGTAGTCCGTCGTCCTTCCTCTCCTCCGCATCGTGTTCCTCTGTTGTCTCCTCCTGCGTCTTCTCTGCTGTGTCTGCCTTTGTCGCTGAGCTGGTTGACTTTGCTGTTGCCTGTCGTCTAGACTACGTTGCTAGTCTTGTTGTTGAATCTGAGTATGTCTGTCCTCCGTCCTTCGGGGGTGAGTGTCCGCCTGGTTCTTTGCCTGTCTTCAAGGCTCGTTACGTTGCTCGAGGCTTCAGCCAGCAGGAGGGAGTTGACTTCTTCCAGACTTTCTCCCCCACCCCGAAGATAACCCCTCTACGGGTGTTGCTGCACGTTGCCGCTCAGCGTGACTACGAGCTTCACTCTCTTGACTTCACTGGGTCGTTCCCTCCTGGTGCCCAGTGGAGCCTCCGGCGGCCGGTCTACGGTCTCCGCCAGGCGCCACGTGAGTGGCACGACACACTGAGGACGAAATTTGCGGCTCTTGGGTTTGCTCCTTCGACTGCTGACCCGTCGCTGTTTCTGCGCACCGACACTTCGCTGCCACCGTTCTACATCCTCGTGTACGTTGACGACTTGGTCTTTGCCACTGCTGATACTGAGGCTCTCACCCTGGTGAATTCGGAGCTGCAGAAGAGACACACGTGCACAGACCTGGGTGAGCTGCGCAGCTACCTTGGCTTGCAGATCACCCGAGACAGAGCACGCCGCACCATCGCACTGACTCAGTCACACATGGTGCAGCAGGTCCTTCAGCGCTTCGGCTTCACCTGGTCCTCAGCACAGCACACTCCATCGGCTTCGGTCGAGTCTGTAGAGCCGAGTGGTCCTTACCCAGAGCTAGTGGGCTGCCTCATGTACCTGATGACCTGCACTCGTCCTGACCTTGCATACCCTCTTGGCCTTTTGGCTTGCTACGTGGCTCCTGGTCGGCACCGAAAGGTGCACATGGATGCTACTAAGAGGGTACTGCGCAACTTGTGCAGTACATCGGGCATGGGGCTCGTGCTTGGAGGGCGGAGTCCAGCTGTCCTCACTGGACACTCATACGCTTCTTGGGTTGACGACCAGGCTACACAGCGGTCGTCACAGGGTTACACTTTCAGCCTTGGCTCCGGTTCTGTTTCTTGGCTGTCTACACGCTTGTCTTCTGTTCTCAGCTCCAGTTGTGAGGCTGAGATCTACGCCACAGCCATGGCTGCACAGGAGTTACGCTGGCTCACCTACCTGCTGACCGACCTGGGAGAGCGGCCTCGTTCTCCTCTAGTTCTGTACGTTGACAACAAGGCCACCATTGCCTTGTGTCAGGAGCACAGACTGGAGCACAAAACGAAGCACATCGCTTTGCGTTATTTCCTGGCTTGAGAGTTGCAGCAGCGGGGTCAGCTTCGCCTTGCTCACGTGGCCACTCAGGCCAATACTGCTGATATATTCACCAAGGCACTTCCATCTGGTGACCATCAGCGCTTTTGTACTTTGTTGGACCTTGTGCCTACGTTTCCACACTTGCTGTAGTCTCTGTTTGTACTGTGATCTATATATATGTACCTGCATGCTTGCTCTTGCTAGGTAGAGATCACTGTACTGTTCTTGTTGCTTATATACCTCTGCATGTGGACTGGCCTTGTGGCCGTTTGCTTGTGCTCAGTGTGTGTGGTGACGTTGTGATCCACCCTGAGCTGTGTTTTGTTTCTTCTCTTGACTGGTCTTGTGACCATTGCTTGCTCTGGCTATCCCCCATTTCGCCTATGGGGGTGTGTCAAAACATATGCTTGTCATTTATCCAGGCTGTATTGGGGCTAGCCTTGGGGGGTACACAAATCATCTCGACACTCTAGTTTTGTACCCCAACCTTGACCTAGTGCATCATCCTTTCCTCTATAGTTTCTAAGAAAGATTGTTTATCCCATGTGCTGAGAAAAACCCTCCCGAATATCCCAGCGGAAACGGGTCGTCAAGCCTGACGACCCTCTGACGACTTGACGACATGCTGCCCCGGGCAGAAAAAAACTAAAACCCTATCGGATGGCATGCCATCCTAGGGAGGCATCAACCCTAAATCCATGCCTCCCTGTGCTTAGGGTTGATGCTTCCCTGACCGGATGCATGCCCTTCTGGGTTTTTTTTTTTTCCCGTGGGCAGAGTGCTCCCCCGGACGGACTCGCTTGTCCGCTGAGATATATTCGGCGTTACCATATCTCAACAGGCTGCTTTTCCTTTGAGATATTATATTTTTTTGCCCCGGGCAGCAATATTGCTGGGTGGAGGCGTTTGGAGATTTCCGGCGTGTTGCACTTCGCGGTGCAGTGCATCGGCTCGGCTCGTGGCACGGGTTTAGGAAGGCTCCAGGAACGCAAGTGGCCGTAATTTTTTTACAGAAAACGCGCAGAGAAAAGGTATGTCCTAATATAAACAACCCTTCTAATCATTATCTTGAAACTTTTCTTTCCCGAAGCAGTGCCCTTGTTTGGTCTCCCGCGTGCCTGGAGCCTTCCAAACGTCCCGAGCCGATGCGGTGCACCGGCAATTGCAACACACCGTGACCATATTAACCTTTACTCCCCCCCCCCCCCACACCCCACCCCCCGACCTCTTTGTGCATTCCTCACTGTTTGTTCCATTGCACATAACATGAAGTCAGGTGTGTAAGGAGATTGAATTTTCATTACAATCAGTACACTTGAAAGTGGGTGATTTTATATAGAAGTTGACGCGCTACAAGAAAGTTGGGCTTTCGTCACTACACCATATCCAACTTCACTACACCATATCCGACTTCACACTACCATGTGAGCGTAGGTGAGGTGGAATGAGAAAACCACCGACCATTCAGCAATGCATAAGATTGAAGGGAATGGTTGATCTGCTATCCAGACAAAAGTGCCGTCTTTCCGTCGACCACTAATCGATGTTTCGCCTCCTAACTCTCTACATCGCGTTCTGTTTGTGTCTTCCAGCGGCCTGACCGTCGTCTGGTTTCTCCTGCTTTAGGTGGTTCCGCCACAACGCGCAAAGCAGAGAGCGTCGCACAGGCGGAGCTCCCGACAGCAACGGTGTCAGTCCGCACGCCTGGCTGGCCCCAAGTCGCACGTGCTTACCTCCTCCCGCGCATGTCGTAGGCCGCAGTGCCCGTCGTCGGGTCGAACGCGCATCGTCAAGCAGTGTTCTCGCGTGGGGCGCCAAGGGATGGGCGCGTCGGGGTTGTAGCTTTGGCCGCGTCACTCGCGCTGAGGCCGCCTGGCAGCGCGCCCGCCGCCCCGCCGCTGCACGGCACACCTCTGCGCTCTGCGACGCCGCGCGCTTTTCTTCACGAACGATTTATCCGAATGCGAAACGCACTTGCTGCGACGTCATTAACGAAGAACAGTTACCTTAGGTTTTCAAGATGCAGCTGCCGGCCCCTCCGAGGCCGCCCTCAACTTCCCGGATAGCCATCGGTAGCGGAGAGTAATGTCGCGCGCACAGCTCGTCTAGGCGCGCCGCTAATCGACGAGAGCGGACGGGCGCGGTTAGGCCCCGTAGCGCGTAGGCCTTTTCGCCGCAACCGTGCGTCGCTGCGCTAAAGCACTGTGGCGGCGGCGGCGGCATGAAGCAGTGGAAGCGGCTGACGGGGCTGGCGGCGAAGGGCAAAGCGGGCGATGCGCGCGCAACGGAAAGGGCTTCAGGGACGCCGCCAGGCGCGCAGCAGGCGAGCGGAGCGAGTAGGGCGAGGAGCAGCGGCGCGGCGGAGGGGATGAGAAGCATGGCAGTGACGCAGACGGACTCTATCGAGGATGAATTCCAACAGGGCTTGCAGGTGTGTGGGGCTTGCAGGTGCGCGCTGTGTGGGGCTTGCAGGTGCGCGCTGTGTGGGGCTTGCAGGTGCGCGCTGTGTGGGGCTTGCAGGTGCGCGCTGTGTGGGGCTTGCAGGTGCGTGGGGCATGACATGCACCCAAGCATTCACTTATGCGCCCATGCACCACTCCCCATCCCCAATGCTCCATACCATACCCCATGCCTTATTCCCCGTCCCCTGTGTCAAGTGCCCCGTGCCATGACCCATGCCATGGCCCATCCCATCCCCCATCCCATCTTCCATGCCACACCCCGTGCCATCCCCATGCCCATGCCCCGTACCACATGCCCCGTGCTGCATGCCCCATGCACCATGCTCTGTGCCCCATGTCCCATGCGCCATGGATGGCAGGAGGTGGGGGAGATGAGGGACAAATACGAGCGCCTGCTGGCAGCCGTGGCGGACGCACAGGAGAGAGCAGCAGGTGCCCTCTTGGGTGGCTTCCAAGCCTGCGTACTTCAACTAGTACTCAATCATTTCTTGGACTCCCAACTGTTGCCGCTTCTGTCTGTCCGTCCAAGCCCAGCCGCACCGCATGCTCTTGTCCCTCCCTCTACGCCTCCCCCACGGCACATGCATGCTGCCATCGTACTCGCTCCATTGCCACCCATTTCTCATGCCGCCGCTGCTCTCCCCACCACCATACCTCTCATCCGAACCGAACCCGTCTCTCTCCACCCCTCTCCCCTCCTGCGCGCATCAGAGTGTGCGGAGGCGCTGCACCAGCTGGCGGCGGTGGTGGCGGAGGCGTTTGGCGGCGTGGAGGAGGGCGGCGCCGGGGACACCCTCGTGGCCGCCGCTGCTGTGGATGGCCGCCTGGCCGAGCTGCTCTACTTCTACGTGAGCTTCAGTATATTTTCAAAACTTTGTGAGCTGCTCTGCTTCCATGTGAGCTGCTCTACTTCCATGTGAGCTGCTCTACTTCCATGTGAGCTGCTCTACTTCCATGTGAGCTGCTCTACTTCTATGTGAGCTGCTCTACTTCCATGTGAGCTGCTCTACTTCCATGTGAGCTGCTCTACTTCCACGTGAGCTGCTCTACTTCCATGTGAGCTGCTCTACTTCCATGTGAGCTGCTCTACTTCCATGTGAGCTGCTCTACTTCTATGTGAGCTGCTCTACTTCCATGTGAGCTGCTCTACTTCCATGTGAGCTGCTCTACTTCCACGTGAGCTGCTCTACTTCCATGTGAGCTGCTCTACTTCCATGTGAGCTGCTCTACTTCCATGTGAGCTGCTCTACTTCCATGTGAGCTGCTCTACTTCCATGTGAGCTGCTTTGCTTCCCCTCTAGCCACTCGCATCTCACTGGTCACCCCTCTTCCGTCTGTCGGCACCTCCTACCCGCTGCCCTCTCTGCTCCCACATGCCCCCAGAGCCTGCACTTGCAGCAGACACTGGCGGAGCCGGCAGAGGCGCTGCTGGGGGAGATGCAGCACGTGGTGGTGAGATGCAGCACGTGGTGGTGAGATGCAGCACGTGGTGGTGAGATGCAGCACGTGGTGGTGAGATGCAGCACGTGGTGGTGAGATGCAGCACGTGGTGGTGAGATGCAGCACGTGGTGGTGAGATGCAGCACGTGGTGGTGAGATGCAGCACGTGGTGGTGAGATGCAGCACGTGGTGGTGAGATGCAGCAGGATTGAGCAATAGGTATCTTGTGAGATTGATGTGGCCTTGGCAGGTGTTGCGGCCATGACATTTGTCATGTGGTGTAAGCTTTTCGAAGACGTAGAAGTGATTAATAGTTCCTACCTTATTTGACTAACACAAAAGTCGAACTTAAAGGTTGTGGAAACTTGTTGGACCAAAGAGGAAGCATGAGTGGGCTAGCGAACACAAACTTGCCACAACGAGGAAATTAATAAAATTAAGCCAAGGGTTAGTAGATCGAACCCCTGCTCTCTCCCTCCCGTCTCCGATTCCCAAAACAACTGGACCTTTTTATCAATCGGGCAGACGAGCTTTCTCCTCTCATCCTACCTCTCATCTTCACCTACCGTCCCGTCTGCCCTTTGTCTATCTCACACTCTGATTCCTCTTCTTCTCTCCTCCGCCCTCTGCCCTCCTCCGTCCACCAGGAAACGAAGGAGCTCTACGAGCAGAAGAGGTGAGTGTCGTTGCAGCCCGGTCCTTGGTTGCTGGGTTTGTATCACACAACACACAGAACAGGGCTGTGAGTAATGCAGGTGTAAACTGGGGGCGCGCGATGGCGTGATGCCATGCCAGTGCAGCTGCTGTGCCGTGTCACGCTTGATGCTCTCAGTGTGCCAAGGGAGTGCCACGGACGCACACAGACGAAATGGCTGGATAGGATCGTTGGAAGTGATTGGAACTAAAAGGGAGTTCAAATCTGCAAAGCTGAGTTGGGACTGGCCTGCACATTTCGTTTCTCTCCACTGTGTTCGCCCCATGTGCCTCGCCCCATGTGCTTGGCCCCATGTGCCTCGCCCCATGTGCCTCGCCCCATGTGCCTCTCGCTCAGACCGACGGCTTGGCTGTTGCTGTCCCCTGTTCCCACCCCACCTCTTCCCTGCGCCCCCAACGTGTGGGCGAGCAGGAAGGCGCATGCGGCAGCGGCAGTGGCGGCCAAGGCAAGGCGCAGAGAGGCGGCCGCCATGGGCGCAGGGGGGGGCGCAGGGGGGGAGGCAGAGGGGGCGGGGGGGGCGGAGGAGGAGGAGGCGGCGGCGCGGGAGGAGTTTGACGAGGTGGCGATGACGCTGGGGTGCCGCATCCTGGCGCTGCAGCAGCGCCAGCCGCGCCTGCTGCTCACCCTCGCCGTCAAACACCACGCCGCCAAGGTGGGCCACCTGTGCCGCCAAGGTGGGCCACCTGTGCCGCCAAGGTGGGCCACCTGTGCCGCCAAGGTGGGCCACCTGTGCCGCCAAGGTGGGCCACCTGTGCCGCCAAGGTGGGCCACCTGTGCCGCCAAGGTGGGCCACCTGTGCCGCCAAGGTGGGCCACCTGTGCCGCCAAGGTGGGCCACCTGTGCCGCGCGTTTAGGACTGTATAGGTGCTCGGTGCTTCAGTGTGAAGCAATCAGGCAGACGCGATGCTTTCACGGTGTGTTGCCCCGCCCCTGCACCCACGATCTCCTCTTCTTGCACAACACGACCCCTCCGCTTCTCCTCCTTTTTGCCCTGCCGTCCCGCAGGTGCGGTGGGTGCGGGGCAGTGCAGGGGAGCTGCAGCGAGTGCAGCCGCACATGCTGCACGTGCTGGACGACCTGGGCCTCGTGCACACACCGCTGCTGGCGCCCGTCGCACAGGGGGACGTGGACGAGTGGGGCGACGAGGGGGGGGCAGGCAGTGCAGTGGGCGCGAGGCAGATCTGCCTCGATGCCTTGAGCGTGCCACCCGCATCACCTGTGCGTGCATGTCGGAGCTGCTCTGCTGTGTATCCGTGTTCCACCAGCTCCCTTGTTGCACTCGCCCCACTTTCCACCATTTCTGTCCCTCACTCCATTTTCTATTCCCTACATTCATTCTCTCCATTCATTCCCCCTTGTTCTCTTCCCCCGCTCCCTCTTTATGCCTCTTCCCCCTCTTGCAGCACGCCCCAGCTCAAGGCCTCGCCTCTCCCCCCTCCCCCCAGCACGCACACCCCTCCACACCCGCACACATCGCTGCCACCGCTCCTGCTGCCCCCGCCCCCTCTGCTGCCTCTGCACCACATGCGCCTGCCACGCCTCCTGCTGCACCCGCGCATGCACCGCCACCCATCCCGCCCTCCACCTCCACGGCACCTGCGCCCTCCCCTGTCATGCCGCCCGCCCCCACCTCTGTCAGGGCAGATGCCCCTGGCCCAGGGGGGGTTGGGCGAGGCAACGCGGTGAGTGGCGGCACAAGGAGCATGCCTCGCAGTGTGGGCGAGGGAGCAGGCATGCAATCAGGAGGCGTGCTGCAGCAGCCACAAGTCCATGGAGACTCGCCCACAGCACCACCACCACCACCGCCGTCGCAGGGCCGGCATCGCAGCAGCAGCAGCACGGGGGCGGGGGGAGCAGCGCGGCCATTGCTGGGGGCGTCCAAGTCGGGTCCCATCTCTGCCGCCGCCTACCTGGGCGCTCTCGCTGCCTCTGCTGCACCTCTGGGAGGGCCGCTTGTTGCTGCAGCCGCCACAGGGGGGGCCATGGGGGCAGCAGGCAGCAGAGGGGCGGCAGTACCGAGGGGAGCGGGTGCAGGCAGGGCGGGGCGGGGCAGAGCGCCTGACATGGAGGCGTGTGCAGCGCAGATGTGGGGCCCTCTCCCCCGCCCGGAGTCCTTGCAGGGGCCTTGGCGCATAGTCTCTGCCGCCCCACCCACACCGCCTGCACCTGCACCACCGCCACCTGCTGGCCCTGCCACCGCTGCTGCTGCCGGGTCTAAGCCCACCCCAGGCGGCGCCAAGCCTACGCCTGGCGGCCCTTTGATGCCAGGCACAGCGCAGGGGGCTGCTGTGGGTGCTGGCATGGGGGCAGGGGCTGGGCAAGGTGCAGCAAGCGGTGGCACTGGTGGATCAGCAGCAGCAGCAGCAGCCGCAGCCGGTAGGGGACGGGGAGCAGGGGGTGGTGGTGGGGGCGTGGGCAGCAATGCGCCAAGGGCGCGAGTGAGCATGTCGGGACCCATTCTGCGCGGCTCCTACCCCTACGGCACAGCAACCCTCTCACCCCGACCCATGCTCGCCACAGCCACCGCTCTGCCCACTGCGCCTTCTGCTGCTGGAAGCTCCACGCCCTCTGCACCCAACCCCTCGTTGCCCTCCCCGCCAGCGCCAGCACCATCAGCACCACCAGCACCATCAGCAGCAGCAGCAGGAGCAGCAGGCAGAGCCCCATCTGCGGTGCCTGCCGCCCTGCGCGTGCCACAGACCTCGTCTCTGAAGACTCCTGGCAGCACCGTGCATGCGCTTGTGTCCCCCCGTCCCTCCGCCGCTGCACCTGCTCCGTTCCACCTCGCCCCCTCGCATGCGACCCATGTCGCCCCGGTGGGGGCGGGCAGCCGTGCAGTGAGTGGCCCCATCACGCGCGGGTCGCTCTACTCCACCTTCGGCCTCATGGCCGATGCCCGCCCCGCCACCTCCACCACTGCTGCTGCTGCTGCTGCTGCTGCTAGGCAAATAGCAGTTCCGGGAACAGCAGGGAGCAGTGGTGGGGCGAGTGGAGCAGCAGCAGCAGGGCGTGGCAGTGGTGGTGGGGTGAGTGCCGTGCGGCTGCACAAGTCGGGCCCCATCGGCCCCTCCCATCCCTACTACTCCTCCCTCACCCCCCTCTCCCCTCCTCGCAACATGCCCCTTCACGCCCTCCCCCCTCCTCCCCTCGACATCCCCCCCACTGCTGCTGCAACGGGTGCCGCTGCTGCAGGAGGCATCGAAGGTACAGAGGGTGCCGGTGCTGGAGGTGGGGATGGGGCAGGCAAGGGGAGTGCGGACAGCAGAGCTGGGGGCAGTGGCAGCGCAGGAGTGGCAGGTGGGCAGGGGCAGGCGTCCCCTGCTGCCACCTCCTCCGTCCTGCAGCATCACCACGGCCGCCCGCCACCCATCGGTGCAGGGGGAGGGGTGGGAGGAGGGGGCATGGCAGGGCGGGCGCGGGTGGGGGGGGCGTCGCGCAACCCATCAGTGGCAACGATCATGTCGGAGGGCAGTGAGGAGGGCGGATCCAGCACCAGCAGCATTGCCACCTCGCCTGCTGCTCGCCCTGTGCCCTCCTGACGCCCTTGCCCTCCTAATGCTCTCGTGGTGACCACAACGATGGGAGTGTAGAGGGAGGTGGATGGAAGGAGACCAAGTCGGTGCCTCACTCGTTCGTGGGCACTAGCACATGGGGTGGGGCCATGTAGATTCTGTCAGTCTCTCTCTCTCCATCACCCGTGCTTTGTGTGTTTTGAGTCGACTCAAAACACACCTGGATACAATGTCACGCGATGTGTTTACAGGGAGGCGAGCTATTCTGGCATGGAAATTGCCAAAAAGGGTTGGAAGCTTTTTAGTTTCTGCTCGTAAGTGCTAGCGTAGTGTAATTCTGTTACTGTAGAATTTTTGCTGAGACTTGGGTTTCCCTGCGAGCTCAATAGCGAGCGGGATCCCCTCGAGGGCATTATATAAGCCTCGAGGTCTCATTTGCTTTCTTGTGGTCTGACGAAGGCTTCTACGCCGAAACTAGTTACCACGGATTTTTTCACAAGTTTTTTCTACAAACAAACACAGGTTTTTACAAGCCTGTTTCATTTTCTTAACAAACTGCTAACAACTCCGAATCTGCAGCCACGCAATGTCTACCACCACCAATAAGTGGTGTTCCTTGGGTCTGACGACACAAAACACTGCGAAGGCCAGTTTCGAGTTTCAAGCAACCCGGGCTACGACCCGGTCTACTCCTAAATTTCAAAATTCCTCCAAGGAATCAATTCCCGAGGCGACTCGACAACCTACAAAGAGGCAGTCTTTCGCTAGAGGGGGACATCAAGTTGTCATTACTTACCGAGAGGAC